GTGGGTCTCAGTTTTCTCTGTTAGCTTGTGCGTGTTGTTTTGAGTGTGGCACCTAATTAACTGTTCAATGGAGGGTTTGAGTAAAAATATATTCCCATAATAGTCTCCAGGAACAGATTAAGTTTTAGTTTTTCTATGGCCATGAGAACAATTATTGGTACCAACATTAGAACTGCAGTAAAAAACAATGCAGCCTCTTCATTTTATCATTGTGTGAACACAGCAGGATGGCAAACATTTTACCTGAGAATTACATAAATTCCACATTAAACTTACCCCCATGATACCTTACATGAACCCAGTGTCTGCCAGAGTTAGCGGTATGCTACAGGTGTCTTTTCTTAGAGCTTTTTGGGAAGTTAATGATGTGGGAACACAATGTGTCACACCACAAAGGATATAATGTTTACTTTGTGTTTACTTTTCACAGCTTCCTCATAAAAGAATAGATTAAAAATCTAAGTGATTTGAGTTTGTTTTAAAAATGAATATGGATAAATAAAACAATAATCTAATCCTTGCTCCATATCAATATTTAACCTTTACGCTTAGAATGAGTTGGGTTGGTTGAACTTGACTCATGAACTCTGTGTTTCTCTGGCATTAACAAAGTAGGCAGCGTCAAAACAACAAGGCAGTTTAACTTAACATCTAAAGCTATTGTTGATTTGGCTAATTGTTTTTCCTTCAGTTGTTTCTGTTTTGTCATATTTTAGGGCAGTGATGTTGGATATTGTTACTGCTGGTCTGACTGTCTGGTGCTATCTACAGTAGTTCAGTCAAGTGACACTCCCCCGCAGATATGTTTACATAGAGATAGTGGGGAAAAATACCCTAAACCCCCTACCCGGAGCCTACAGGTGGATGCTGGGGTGGTGGTGGGGCTTACGAAACGATGCACTGATGGAGCAGAGGGCTTATACCAGATTGGAAGGGTGTGTTTGGTTTGTGACAATGGAGAGTGAGGCATGATATGTGTGTACGTAGCAGTGCAGCTCGAGTTGACCGCCTGAACTAGCTCGCAGGCCTCGCTCCATATGTGATATTGGCATTGTTCCATTAACACGGTGTTTCTGCTGAGGATGTGGCGGATGATGGATTACTGTGTGGACGTTTTTCTGCATTTTATGTATGAATTTTGCGTATTTTCACATTGTTGACTCTGTGGTGGTCTAAGCGATGCACTTTTGATGCCCTCTAATGCATTCTTTCCCCCCGATCTGCTGTAATTATTTATTCTGACCTCATATTAATCCTCCCATTGCGTGGCTTAAAATAACATATGTTGAAAAAACTTTTTAACACAAAGTGACAGCCTTGAACATGACTCAACTTTTGCTGTAATGCAATGCAACATCAACGTGTAATACACTGTGTTGGTCAGTCCAATATGTGCACATTTATGCCATGAGTACACTGACACTCATGGCACAATTTGTGGGTTTTTAGCAACATGAGGAAAGTTTAAATTCTATGATTGAAAACATGCTCATGGCCAGTATTTGTAGACTTAGTATGTTTAAATATGACCTTTTTCTGAGAATGCTTTAAAACCTTATTTAGAAAAATCACAAATAGTAGAATTGAAAAGACTAAATTAAATATGAAGAATCCAATAAATAAAAAACAAATAGAGACCTTTTTATTCTCAGTGAATGTTGCCAATGACCTCAGTTTTTCCAGAATATCAACCCTGTTGTCCCCTACTTAAGCAACACACCCACACCCCTATAGCTGTGTCTGAATGTTGTCAGTTGTAGTGAATGATGTAATCTAACTGTACTCATAATCAGATGTTTTCACTTTAACACTTTACCAAGAAATTACCAAGAACTTAATCAGGATTTTACCGGAAGTGTGAACATCTATGTTTGTACAGCCCAGTGTGTATCTACTGTGTGTGTCTTGGCACATTCACAAAAGTTGCGATGGTAGTAGGCAGGTGTGTATGTGTTTTCCTGCGTGTGTGTAGCGTAGACGTGTACATGTGTCTGTGCAGGCTTTCCACCGTGTTCCTCAGAACTAGAGGTGACGGGTTCCCAGGAGTGGGCCTATTTCCGTGGTTGCTAGGTGACTAGTGTAATCATTATGGTGGTGATTTCAGAGTTAAATTAAGAAACTAGTCTGACCTCGGTTTCACACTGACCACTATGTCAGTTTCCTGTGGATGTCAGGCCGAAACCAGACACTCCTTTGTCTGGCATACCAGGACAGTGGTGCCGCAAATTCACTCAGTTCTGCTGTGCTTTATTGTAACTTAACCTGTGGTTTCGAGTCTGGTTTGACTAGACGCTCCCCGGTTGCGAAAAACAAACAAATAAAACCATGAAAGCAGTTTGAGCAACATCACCCAGGGAGATCAGGTGCACGTACTGTAAATGAGCTCTAAACGGCTTCCTGCAGTGTCATTAAGAAACTCTCTCTCTCTCTCTCTCTCTCTCTCTCTCTCTCTCTCTCTCTCTCTCTCCTCTCTAGTTTATTGAGGCTGTAAACACTTTCAGTTTTAGCCTGCACCACTCAGAGTTAATTTAATAATCTGATATATACAACATGGTCGAAAGTAAATAATTGCTGATCTGAAACCAAGAAGGACCTCTAATAAAACTTGATGATGTTCGAAGGTATTTCCAGAATCCTCAAACACTCTTCTGACCTTCTGAATGAAGTCAAACTGTTAATCTGTCTACCAGGTGCACAGGATATAGGAAATTATGAATTCCTGCAGTTTATCAGGGACACAACATTTATTAGAGATAGAACGTTGTAATAATCAATACGGTAATGCAGAATTGTTATGACTGAAACGTTTTGACTAATTAACTCTTTCACCAATAGTCTCGACTATTTCTGCTCACTGTCTATTAACGTTTATATTGTATTTTAATTAATATTCTTTTTGCAGCTGTTTTTGCTGTTTCCCAAAAACATTCATTTAAACTTACTTACATTTTGATATAAATATCCAGTTTCATAACTACACTAAAACATAGATGTGGTGTGTAAAGATTATTTTTTAACAGCAATTATTTATTATTATTATTCATTATTTAAAAGTTTGATCATTTATTCATGATCTATTTGTAGTTACAAAGACTTTCCATGCAGCAGCCTGTTGTGTCTCCACCCAAAGACCAGCTGTTCATTCTACAATAAAGCATTGTAAACAGCACTCTTCCCCATGTCTATTATTCCCTTTATTATTATTATTATCATTCCAAGAATTCATGAAAGGGCTTTTGAAGAATAAACATCATTCCAGCTTCCAAGAAGTCTGCGGCCATTAAATGGCTGAGTTCCACTTCCGTTTGCCACATCTGGTATTGCGTCAGCATCGTAAGATGGACTTGTCATTCACCTCAGCTCACGGAAGAGGAAGGAAAAATAAAAGAGAAACCCTGAGCAGACAAGATTTGATGTGACTGTGGTGAAATTTGGGAAGTGTTACTTGTCAGTGAGTGACCTCCAACGTAACCAAACCACAGGTTTCTTCTCTCTGCAGGTGAGACAGAGGTTATGGATCCACTCTGACATGTCTGTGGTTTCAGATGACCTCAAAAGCTTCAGTAAAATGAAGTAATACCCCAGAATATATTAGTTTTTTTCATAATCAGTGATGCTGGTAAATATGTCCAAAACCACAGGACGCTTATGACACACTTCAGTGTTTCTGCAGTTTCTATACATCAGTGACCGGAACGCTGACGTTTTTTACAGAAACATCTTGAGTTTTTCTTTCTTTATCTTGACTAATCGATCAATGAAAAATCACGATTACTTTAAGTATAATGTAGGCTAAGTGCTAATTTCTCTTTTATCTAACAGAAACTGCTGCTTGTTAATTTAATATCTCAATGATGAAAACTAGTACATTATTAAAGATCCCCGAAAGACATGTATTTAGACATACACCAATCAGCCATAACATTATGAGCACCTGGGCACCCTAGTAACTAGATAATCAGTGTTATTCACTTCACCAGTCATTGCTCATAATGTTATGGCTGTTTTGTGTATCCGTACACAGACACTTCTGCTGAATTGTAGAGTGAATTCTTGTGTAACTTCTATGGAAGGGTAGGCACAGCAGTGCCAATATATTACATCACTGGACCTATCAGCATATGTTATGGCTGATCAGTGTTTATACAATAGTAACATTTCCATATTAAAATCCTCAAGGTATCTACTCCTCTCTACCTCATTAAACATTTCAGAATATATGAATATGCCAATTTTGTTCATGTAGTTTTCCTGCCGGACACAAGATGTCTCATATTTCCCTGTAAAGTCCATTCTCAATGTGTGTGCAATAGTTGCTTCAGATTTCTACATCACACTTGTGTAAGTTGTATACTGGACTAGGATTAACTTCCAAATGCTCATAGGCCGTGTCCCTTAAAAGGCCAGTGTGTAACATTTAGGAGAATCTAAATGGAATATTATAATTATAGGTATGTTTATTAGTGTATAATCATCTGAATATAGGAATCGTGTTTTTGTCACATTAGAATGAGACATTTTTATCCACACATGCCCGCCATGTTGAACCACCCTGTTTGTACAGTAGCCCTGAACGGACAGACCAAACACAGGCTGTGGATGGGGCCTTTTTTCCGCCACCATAGTTTCTCTGCCACACTTCACAGCCTGTTCTCATTCCCAGGTCATCAAATACAGACTTGAGCGGTGTTCTAGTTAATTGCAGTCTGCCACTTCACCGCTAGATGCCACTAAATCCTACACGCTGGTCCTTTAAAATCAGATTTTCAATGAACACAAAGAAACTCTCAGCAGATGAATGTGAAAGCATCCTTCTAGTCACTCTCCACATACATCATTCTGCACAGTGAAGCTCAAACACAAAGGAAAACACATTTTAGTGGAGGGGGACTTTACTAATCCTAAAAATTAATATAAAGTGATTGAATGTATTATTTTCATTGGGTTTCAGTGAACAAATTGTGAAAGACTTTCCCTCTCACATTAACAAATGACACACATTTTTATTAAATTATTTTTATTTTTTGGAAAATATGTATTTGGTGCTTTGTTACAATTGCCATGCACTCATATAGCAAAGAACAAATGAGCTAATGGAAGAATTCATGTATCAGAAGGTGGAGGAGGAAATGTTAGGCTGCAGTGTGATATAAATCTATGACTGTATTTACATTTATGGACATGAGCTGGGTGTAAAAGGTTTAACCACCAGAGGACACTCTTCACTGTGATTACAAGTGTTGCCACCAGAGTTCAGCAGCACCTCAGCCTGTTTAAGCACCACTTTATCTCTGATCATGGTGAACAGTGCCCTCCAGGGGTTTTACTGGTGCATTACATAGCAGTAGCTTTAAATAACAAGTTACTCTGATCACTGTGCTCAGAAACATTATTACTTGCTTCAGACCGAGCGGGCTGCCATGGTGTCAGGCTGCATGCTGGCCGAGGTTGAGGAGGAGGCAAAGGAGCAGTGCATGATGGGACAAAAAGGCTCATGGGCCCTGAGTGCGTCGGTCAGCAGGCGCTGCTCTTCGGACAGAGAATCCACCTGAAGACGAATCAACAAGCAGAGATTGACTTAATTACTGTAATTATTCTGTGTATCGGACTCCTCATTTTGTTTTTAAATGTAGATTTAACGCACTCCTATGACGCTTCGAATTAAAGAGGTCGTAATTGTTAATAAAAATGTTTTGTGTATCTTTACTGTGCTAATAAAGTGTACAATAGTGCAGTGGTCTGTGGTGACGGTAGAAGAGCACAGAAAGCAAGAACATGATCTAATCCCAACAGGGATGAATGATATCCAAGATTAATGCATTTTGTACATTGCGTGTTGTATGTACCTCTCTTTTCAGGTTTCTGTTCCTCTGCTCCAACAGTTCACAGGCCTGGGAGAGGAAAGAGGGAAGAGGAGATGGAAAAGGAGAACAGGAAGAAGCAGAAATTATGAATGAATGAAGGCTTTAGAGGGTCAAGTTTGAAGGGGAATTCCTAAATTTAACACAACAAAATTTGATTATTAGTCATGGCGACAACACAAACAAACAAACAAACAGTTGCATAATGTCTTCTGCAAAAGTTCTTAGTTTGAGAAAACCCTTAATAATATCCTCTGGGTGACCTGTTATTGCGGTTGAGTTTTAGTTCGACTAACAGTTAGAATTTAATATCAAGATACCTTTGCCTCTAGAATTGATAGTATTGATTTTGACCATACTTCTTTTCTCTTTTGAGTACCCCAAATTTATTGAAGTGCAATACTAAAAAGCATATTGCAATCACTTGAGCATTATTTTTCTGAATTAAGGAGAAACCTTCAGCAGGCTCTCCATGCCCAGGGTCAGCCCTCAGCCCCCTGATCCTAAACCAAATCTCTTAACCAGCCTCCAGCGTGTTCCGGTGGGCCCAGGCAGAGCTCTCAGCACTCTAAGCCTGACCAAAACAACCGTTACACTGGGTCTCCAGCCCACGCAAGGCTCTCTGTCCCCTAGCCTTGCCCCCCCTGGGAGGGAGGGAGGTGGGTCCATGCCCACAGTCCAATGCCTGTTCTCACTGTATACTGCTAGAAGGCAGAAAGACATGCATTGGCTTGCTGGAGGCTGTCTCAGGGTTTGAGTGCCAGTGCAAGGGACTGGTTATGGGATTTGTGAGCCAGCCCTGTGCATTGAGATCCTGCTGAAAACAGAAAGACGGGGCAAACATTGTTTTCTCAAGTGAATGCAATATGCTTCCATAAACTGGGGGACTCTTTTAACCAAAATGGAATTCTAACTTTAACCCAAAAACCAAGTTTCAGACCTTAAATAGCCATTTGAGGAACAGAAAAAAGATAAGGGCTGCAAGTGTCCATCCAAAGGTGGAAGTACAAGACGATGCACGCACGCACCTCATGCAGAAGGTCAGCTCTCTGTGTTTGTCTCTTCCGGCTCTTCTGGGCTGCAACTCTGTTCTTCTCTCTCCTCTTCAGCTTCCTGCCTCCATCCTCTGAACCCTGAGACACAAACACGCACATCCACAAAAACAAATCTCTCTTTGTGGGTACCTAACACTGTGAGTGGGCTCCAGCTTTGTGACCCCACAAATACTGGAAAACACACCCACCCACACACGCACTATATATGATAAACAATTCAATTCCTAGTCTTGTACTCAATAAATTCAGTCCCACTTTTGTAGTTTAACTTTATTCCAAAAATGTATTTTTGAATAAGTTCTGTATGAGTCATTGCAACTAGGGCTGAGGATGTCAATTAAATTAGTAATCGAGTATTCTAGAGATTATTCCAACGATTGAGTAATCTGACAAGACAGACTTCTGCTTTAATAAAGTAATATTAGCAATAGTCTTTTGAACTGGTTTCATTGTTTCCTCTAGGATTTTCTTCTCTTGTACCCCCACTGTACTTTGTAATGGATCTCCCTTTAACCAGATGTTGGTTCGAACCCTCACGTTTACTAGCACGACCTTGACCTTTGACCTGCTGTTGGGACAGCGAGCAAGGTTGCACCAGAATAAAAACAATTTCCCTATGACGATAAGATAAGACAATAACACAGCACGTTAGTGGGATCTTACCTCACTTCCTTCACAGAGGTGGTAATTCTTGCTATTCTTCTCATGGGAGTGGCAGGAAGAATCACAGTCTGACATGTTTTAAGGGGTGCATTAAAATGAGAGAAACAGGAGAATATCCTGCACACCGGCTCCGTCAGTAAACAAAAAGTGTTATTTGTGGACGGGGCATCAAGTTCAGTGAAGTTAAAACAAACCAGGCAGAAAACCGGCTGCAGTTTCACTTCAGCTTTCTTTTCACTTTTCAATTTCGCTGCCGTTTTAGAAGAAGCAACGAGGGCAGTTCACATAAGTCATATGACCCAGAGGCCACCAGCATTTATGGACTGACAAGAGGGTTTGACAAATCATTGACCCACAATGCTGCACTGTGTGACATGTTCCTTTATGCCACATCCTGCTGCTGTAAATACTCACTAGAGCACCAAATGTGTATTAATCCACGGCTAAAAATAGTCCCCAACAAATACACTATGTCCTCCTGTTGGACTAACATCTTCAGTAGGAACCAATGGGCTTTGAGCTGAGAGGGGCAGACAGATCGGAAAGAACTGAGAGACGGACTGAGACATTGTTGGTTTTGGTTATTTTATGAAATTTGTTGACAATAAGAAAAACACAGAATAATGCCAGCCTTATCCTTTCAAATAGGTACAGGATGGATAAGAGTGTACAAATAAAATAAAAATAATACCAGTAAATGTCTTAACAGGTTTTTTTTTTAACACCAACAATGACAAATATATGCCAACGAGATATATTTAGATCTTTTAAAAAGGACAGTTCATTTCAGGCAGGGGGAACAAAGAGTCTCTAGAAATGTATTCTTATACACTATAGACAGAACAACAAGAACTGGAGTCAAAGGTCAGTTTTACGATTTCATCTGATTCAGTTTAGTCATAAAAACTTTTACTTAATTTAAATTTTCCTCACAAAATCGGGATGGTTGCAAACAACCTTTGACTTAAAAAAGGTGCCGTAAGCGATATTCTTTTGTTAAAATAAGCCACATTTCAACAGCCATCATCAAAATATAGTGTTCAGTCAGTGACTCCCAGTCTCCAGCCCCTGCTTCTGCAGTGAACAGAGAACAACATTTCGGGTATCCCGTTGGATCAACAATTGCAGTTTTCACTTACAGCACCTTTAAAATGACGTCATAGTTTCAGGACTTCTTGACCAGATAAGATTAACATGGTTTGTCAATGTTAATATGGTTAATACTAGGGCTGTCCCTAGTGTGCTGCACCATTTTTTGGGCTTTTATTAAATCCGTCTGACAGACTGGTGCCATCCGTGGTCGATTAACTCCAGTCTCCCCTCGCTGACAATCTCCTATGCTCTGCAGAGACACCGAGACGTTAGGAGAACAAGTCCCAGGTGTAACCCTGTTTCTTTCTGTGCCTGAAACATCTTTTTGATGATTTGAATCAACATACTTGAGGTGATTTTTTTTCAGCAGAAACTCGAACGCTCTTGCAGCGTTTGCCGGCGCCACCTTGTGGTTTTGTGCCATAAATCGATCGAGTCGTAGGAATGCAGAGGGAACAACAGTTCTCTGCGTTTATGGGAATTAAAGTAATGTCTCACCATTAATATTATTTATTCAATATGTTTAAAATGAGTAAACATCCCAAGTCATATCATTTTAATCACTGCTTTCTATTCTTAAAAAGAGTTCAAAAACAACACTGCGCAGAAAAACACACATTAGTTCCTGACATCCAACCATCTTGGTTGTTCTGTACGGTAGCAGAAGTGTCACTCTGGCTTGACCTCCGCCACAGGTTTCTTACTGAGAGGTACATAGCAGTCTGCGGCTGCTGCTTCCTCTACAGTTCTCTTTATTGGCTGCCTGTTCCTCGAAGCTCCGCTCACAGGAGGCAGGGGAGCGTCTGATTGGCCGTTAAAACCAAACACTTCTCTGTGGATCTCCAGAGTGGCGTGGCTTGGTTTCATGTTGAGGATCTCACAGAGGCCTTCAGCTTGTTTCTGCAAACTGTTGATTGACTACAGGGGGGAAAAAAGTGTCAATAAAGCTTCTGCTGTATATATTTATCTATAAAATGTACATTTATAGATGAAACTTGACACCGGTTTGGTGTGTTTGTTACCTTTATGACCTGGATGGCCTGTTTCACCATCCCAGGAGCCGCTGCTGACAAATCGTTCATGATGCTCTCTGATGAAACACAGACACGGTTGTATCACTTCATGTTGTATCCATAACCAGTTTCTACATTTCTACTCACATTCTCAGCTCCATAATGTACTGAAACTCAGAAGGTGAACAAAAAGCACTGTTGCATGTAGGTGTTTCAGTTTAGAGGGGGTGAAACTTTCAAATGTCCATCTTAAAGAGAAGTAGTTCTTCCTGTGTATCATACAGGAAAAAAAGTCCACTATGTAATGTCCAGATATATATATATGTACCCACAGGAATACGTATAAAATATATAAAATATAAAATAAATATTGCTTTAAACCAGAGAGACGTATTACTTGTTTTGTAATTGGTGCTGAAGAAGTATAAAGATGTTTTCTAAATGTTTTTGTCCTCAAGGATCTGGTCAGAACACCATAGTTCACTCAAATGAAAAATGTGTGTGTATAAATGATTAGAGGCAACAACCTTGATCAGGGTCTTTGGCCACCTCTTGAGGTTTGACTGCGTGTTCATACAGCCCCTGAAAAACAAACACAGCAGGTGTCAGAAAAGTGGACACCGGACACATTAGCGCCGCATGCTGCATGTACTGTATGTGTGTCTGCTTCAGTTGTTGTGGTTGTTTTAATTTAAACCTGTATTAATCAAATATATTTATAGGTTAGGTCAATAAACATTATGCCATTCCCCACACACCACCATAACAAAGTGTTTATTTTATGATTTATTCTTTCATTTACATCTTGTGTTTTGTAAGTTAAAGGGACTAAAACTTGCATTTTGTTAGATAACCATGTTGTAGAACGAACCTTGTACCTTGATACTAAATCAAAATTTAAAAAATTAAGTTGATTCTTTCAGAAATGCATGAGTTTATTTTACCTTAAATCTAAATATTAACTCACAATATAAGTTTCTTCCATGAAACTGAGCTGTCAGTGTGTCTCAACACTCTTTACTGCACATTTATCTCAGCTAAAAGAAGACAAAGCGACTAATGTGACACCCACCATGAGTTTACGTTCAGCTTTGAGGGAGTGGACCACATGTGGCAGGATCTGTCTCGGGTAGGAACGGCGCCTCCTGGTGGTCTCAACAATGGTGTCATCCAGCAGGCTTTCCAGGTCAACAGCCTCATCCACCGCTGAGTGTTTGTGGTTGAGAGAGAGCAGAAACATGAGCGGTAGTTTACTGAATGGACAGTTAGTGCTTTTTATTGATTAAGAATTTAATGTAACCCTTATTTTATAGAGGTTAAAGCGGCATAGAGCGTTACCTTCAACATCAGGTGCCTCCTGCCAAGGCTGTCCATTCACCAACACGTTGTCCTGAACAGCCGCCTCAAAGTTCTGTGCAGATACGAATCATTTTCACTACTGAACACAAGTTTCAACGAACAATACAGCTATAAACAGTTCACACATCAGTTAAAGTGCCCATAATACAGCTGCACATTATAAACTGTATCTTGGATCATGCATTATTTATAGGGCTGCACACTGATTAATTCTGATTTATCTTTTGGTCTATAAAATGTCAGAAAATAGTGACAAATAACAATTCTCTGAACTTTCTAAAGCTGTCATTCAGATCCTGTTTGATCAAGAGTTTAAAAAAAAAACCTCAGATAGAAGATATTCGGTTTACTATCAAGACAAAAACAGCAGATTCTCACAACTGAGAGAAAGTTATCAGTGGCAGAGGAAGCTTATTCTGTTTATTTTGTCCTCAGATGCCACAAACCATTAGATGTGAACAAGTAGATACTGTATATGGACCATTATCTGTACACTGTTAAACCTTATGCTGGAGTATATTTAGGAGTATCATTTCTCGTTTTTATTTTCAGACCACTTCACAACTTGTAAAAAAAAAAAAAAAAATTTAAAAAATGAGTTGAATGAATTGTATTGCTAAGAGTTCACAAGGATAGGAAACTCTTGTGTGTTTTAATGAGCTGGATTTATTTAAAGAAAGAGCTGCCCTCTAACACTTCCCAGCCGAAATGACCAAACCATCTAAAAATATGTTAAAATGGCATTTAATCGTGTTTCGCTTTTGTGTAAAAACACCAACAGCAACGCAAACCTTAAATACGATAATTTATGAATGGAGATTTGGTTTAAAATTCTCAAAGACTTAAAACAACGCTCAGCGGCCTGTTCATACCTTACAGGAGCAGTCTGCTAACCCCTGAATTATCTGAATTTAATTATTGAATGAGTATGAAGTACATTAGTAACATTAAGATGTAAATAAAACGTCAGACCCACCGCCAGCAGCTCCTGCAGGAAAACTCGTTTCGTCTCTTCTGCCACATCCGGCTGTCCGTCGAGAGCCGTCTTCAAAATGTCTCTGTATTTATTTATCTGCTCGATTACTTGTTTCTTCGACGTTGTTTGCACTCTGTACTCCTGGTTTGTTTCATCGGCTGGTAAGGGTTCACTCTCTATCATCGGCTCCATCTTTACCGCCAACTTTGTTTATAATTTTTGACGCAAACCGGAATTGAATTAGTATCTTCCTGGTCCGTCTGTTAAGGCTACCCTCTGCCGGAACGATACTTTTAGCATCGCACAAGTGTTCCGCCCGGTTGTTGTTTCGAAAGACACAGGTGAAATGTAATATCGCAGTTTTTCATGATTGTTTTCGCTCTTAGCTCGTATTATTTCTATTTTCAATGGAATATGGCTTTGTTGACTGTCACTGTCATATATCAGCCCGTGAGTTTGAAGAGGTAGACACTGAACACAACAACACAACAACACAACATGTAAACATACACTCACTGTTATCATTTACAGTTAGCCACAGCTTTTCAATTCTGTGTCTCATCATCACTGTGCAAACAAATTAATAAACTGTTTTTTTGTTTTTGCTTTGCAGGATCTGGAGGATGTGATCCAGAGGACCACCGAGGTCAGTTATAAGTTTATCTGTTGAACAATGGTCAGTAACTTCATCAGAGCAGTTTGACAGACGCTGTTACAGAGAACTGGGAGCTGCTGATGCCTGGTGATACCTTACACTGTACAGACTGTAAACTGTATTGTGGGACTCGGCATGATGAATATGAAGCCAGGCTGACCTTATTGATCTCTTAAGGAAAAGGAAACGGGGAGAAGAGCCATTCATTCGTGTGTGTGTGTGTGTGTGTGTGTGTAGGCCGGGGTAGAGACTCTAGTTGCTGTTACAGAGGAAGTCGGAGAGTTTGCCAGAGTTCTCCAGCTGCAGGAACGGTCTGTCTGTCTTCAGTGTTATGTAATCAGTCCTAGGCCATACTGTACAGTGGAGGTTGAATAATAAGGGATTTTATTTAAAGGCTGATAGAATAACAGTAGTTTGGTGCAGGAAAGCAGATAGCAGCCAAACCAATTTATTAGCCGACCTCTCCTATACACAGTGTCGTCTCATAAACTTATATTATTATATTATGAGTCCTACAGAAGGACTGGTTCAGTAAATGCATGAAAAAAAGACTTTGGCAGGATTTTTGTTTCTTTTATAAACATTTGGAGAATATTTTAAGATTTCTTTTGTTTTGATAATAGTGAAGGGGAAGTTATAAAACTACAATGAAATAAAACCAGGGGGAAGTGATGCAAATTAATGAATTATTACATCTTGGTAATTTAAGCTACAGATATTCTTCTTAATTCTGAAAGCTAGTATTATGTTTTGCATATAAACTGCAGGTTAAGTGCACCTGTCAGATCAATGTAGTCAAAACTACAAAGTGCCAGAACCTCCACACTGTACCGACAGTGAGTGCAGAGCTTGTGTAAATGTACGTGCAGTTGCACAATGTAAAGAATAAGAATGTTTACGTTATCCATACATCTGCTCTCAGCTGGATAGCATTGTGTTTATTATTCAGGGTGTTACTGTTGAATTCTTTCCTCACAGTTATCCACATCTGGTGGCTCCATGCCTCGGCATACATCCGCTGCAGGGCGGCGGGGGCCCCGGGCAGCGCAGTGTGAAGCCTCAGGTAGCAAAACAGTCTCCACCTCCTCCGTTTTTTGATTATTTTTCTTTATTGATTCCAAAAATATGAGGAGAGAAACTGTATCCAGTCTGCTCAGTGGTGTCCCAGCTGTCCTGCTGCTTCAGAGTGTAAGACAGAGGGAGAGGGGGTGTGTTTCTGAGGCCTCTGGGGGAGATGAAGGTGTATTTGTTTTTTCTATTAAGGTCTTATTGAAAGTACAAAACTGTCTTATACAATAGTGTAAATACTACAACAGGTTCATTGGGGTTTGATGTTGTAGAAAGAAGGAGCTGTTCCCCATAAAGACAAAGCAAAAAAATCATGAGTGAAATCATGTCTGTTCATTTTAATGTCACCTCTCACGTTACAGACACTGATGGAAATCTGATGCCACGTTGATCAGCTTCTCTGATGTTAACATTAAGTTGTGAAGAAACGTGTAAATCTTCAGAGTTTCAGGTTTCGTCTTATCAGCTGAATAATCCATTGGGACAAAATCTGGCAGCGAACAGAAATTGAATCATTTCCAATTGCTTGATACCTTGTTGAAGCAGGTCAGCTGAGCCGGGATTAACTCTGGTGATAATACTGTTATATACGGCTGCACAGTATGGGGGAAACAAATCATTTTGCTATTATCTTGACAGATATTACGATTGATTTCACTAATAGTGGGATTTTCACTGAAAGAAATATGGATCCATTCGTTAGGATCTGCACCAAGGGCATATCCACAATGCTACAGTACTTATTATTGTGCCTTGATAAGCAAGCACAATACTATTATTCCGGCTTAATATTATTACTCTTCCGTACGTTTTGGCGCGCTTCTCCCGCAGCTTGCGCACATACACAAAAGGTATCAAAACGTGCGGCCGATGAGGACATTAGTGCATGACTTTTCTAAGAATTCAAACGGTTTGCCGATAAATCGCCAAAACCGGTCCAAAAAGAATGGGTGTTATGCAGAACCTCCAACTGAAAAAAACTGCCAGAGTGCGGACATCATCGCTAGAGTGTGGGAGAGAAAAAATTTCGAAAAATAATTTGTAAACTGCTGTCATGGCCACAAATTTCACTCTACAGAAATAATTTATAGATAGAAACGTAGGTAAATTCGTTGGGGTCGCAGTGATACTACTGCGAAGCTGTCAGACTAATAGTTTTGGCGGGAAACGCACTGATGCGCCAGCAACGCCCTCCACGGCCCCATCTACCCCATGTTAAAATGTAGAGGAGAAACTGAAACACGCCGTGAACCCTTCCCCAATCTCCCCAGGTCACATTTTTAACTTTAGCCACTGAAACTGGCAGTGCTATAGTCAACAAGTTGACACGCTCACGGTCTTCGGTTTCATTTCGGTCGTTCCTGGCCATGCTTTGAGGGGATTCATTTTAAATGTTTCTGTCTCTCGAGGAGTTAGAGACAGAGAGAGAGCGCGCAGCTGCTGTGGGCTCCTCTGATTGCCATGACAACTAAAGCCTGCCACACACACACACACACACACACACACACATACTAGCTTCAGAGGAGCATTTAAGCTATTAATAAGCTAGCGCAGCGGCAGCTAAAGATAATTAGCAGGTGCTAACAAGCAAACAATTTAAAGCTGAGTGATTTTAATATTAACACAAAATAAGTTCAATACACCTTAAATATTTTACCCACTATGAGCTGTTCCTTAATTTACATTAGCACTCCTTCAGGAGCATAATACAATAAACACATTAACCAAAGCTAGCACTAGCAGCGATTAGCGCTAGCAGCGATAGCGGTTAGCAGCGATTAGCACGAGCAAGCGCTAGCTCGGTTAATGTGTTTATGTTGCTAGCTCAGCTAGCTACCTAAAGAGAATTAGAGGGTATTAAAATGCTAGCAAAAGAATTAGAAGATAGAGAAGGTATAGAAGGCAGCAATTAATAATATGCTGGCTGCTAGAGAGGACAAGCACTAATGTTCAGCCAAGCTAGCAGACAGAACAAGGAGAATGTGCAGCACCCAGCTAGAGAGGACAAAGGATTACGTGCTAATTAAACGTCACAAAAGACACACAATTCTTAATTAGCCATCTATTTCAACTTGTTACACCGACACAAGTTATACAGATTTACTAATGTAATAAAACATCAAGATAGATTTATTTTGTGAGGAAGAAGACACCAACTGTTGTAACTGCCTATGACTGCACAGTAAGAATAGTTTTCTTCTTAATTATGTATTATTTATTAATATAAATATTGTTATTCATATTATTGATAGCATTACTTATTATTGTTGTTATTTTTATGATTATTATTATAACTACATACTTATTATTCCCACCATTGTGGTTATTACTTATTTAGTTACTTTAGCAATTTTAATTAAACCATGACCCTTCCTGCATTATCCCAGGACAATATTATGCCAAACTCCATTTAAGAAATACCATATATTAACAATTATTTGCGCTACATAAAAGCACATAACTGTAGAAACACAAGAAAAACCATCATATCTCAACAGTCTTCTTGTTAATTCGGCCTCAATATAATACATGAATACAAACTTTTGGCCGACTTGTCGCATCAACTCGTTACCAGCCTCACTATTTCAGTGGGAGAAGACCGGCAATAGATGGAAAAAACAAGATTTATCATTAAAATACGTGGTTGTTAGTGGATCACCGGACCCAATTAAACACAGGTGTCCCCCTCATTGTACTGTAAACTACTCAGCAGTGTCAGTAATGTATGGGCCAGTGTCACGGGCCAGAGCAAGGCACAATCAAAATTGCTTAGGAATCAGTTCATCATTATGATACTGTTGTGTCACCTATTTTACCTTCATGAAAAAAATTGCAGCTTCTGTGATTTGGGCATTTTTCGATTTTGATATTTTGTTTCAATTAATTGTGCTCCCCTATATACTCACTATGCTACTCACTATTTTTCTTCAAAGAAGGTCCTCTTGTGATACAATGAAGAGAAAAATGTGAAGAAAAGCCAAACAACCTGCTTATTAGTCACATACTTTCCACATACGACAGCCAGTCACGTGTCAATAGTTTAATAGCTGCTGTATAAATATATCTTGGTGTTAAAATTAAACTAAATCTATGATGCAACTTTTAATGGAGACGTGTTTTCCACAGGACCTGGATGCTGCCCTGCCACAGTTCCACCAACACAGAGAACGCCTCGTCGCTATTGGAGAGGTAGACTGCTCACACACACACACACACACACACACACTCAAGTTTGTACTTCTATACTTGCTGGACTAATACTGACATAATACAACCCCTAACCCCTCACTGTCACTTTTACTTAAACCTTCTCCTCATCTTAGCCCTAAAACTAAGCCTTAACCCTCAAGCAGCCCTTTAGAGGAGTGAGGACAGGACAAAATGTCCTCACTCTCAAGGTCTACACGACTCTAATTGGTCCTCACAAAAATATAGATATAAGGCCATTTTACACACATTATCTATTAATTGAGTGAGTCAGTGTGGCTGGGTTGCAGCTGACGGGCTAACCTACTAACATTATGATGAACGGGATGCTGACTGCAGTTCACTTAATGGCCATTGGTGTCACTATTAATAATGGTTTATTGAAAGCTACATAGAACCTTTAGGGAGATGTAATAAAACACGTAACACACACCTATGCTTGTGAGTACACACACTCCCCCCAGCGAACAAATCCTAACTTTAATTTGACTTCTGGTAAAGAAAAGCAGATTAAACTAATTAAAAACTCCTAACCGGCCTCCTAATCTTCCTTCCTTCCATCAGTCACACTCTATCTCATGCACTTACACACACACGCCGTTCATTCTGTGGTTGTGTTTAATGCTACAGAGCCCGGTGAGGAATGTGTGTGTGTTTGTCAGAGCAGATTTCAGGCATCACAAGACTAAGTCAACAATCCCACACTCCTGTTTCCATGAGTGTTATTTTTATGGATCAGGTTGGAAGCACAGTCGGGTCCGCCCTCTGCTGCACTGAACACATTGTAGTTTATTTAGTCTATAAGCCCTTTCCTCACATTCATTTTACCTGCAAATGTTCCTGCAAGTTTATTTCCTCTGAAATTGAGCGGTAGACTTGAGACTTGGACTTCAGTCAAACTTGAGATTATGGGCTACATTAACGAAACGATTATTTTTTTTTGTCTTTTTTTGTCCTTATATATTATTATTTATAGTTCAAGGTAAGCGATTACCAGGAAGACACATATGAGACATGATGTAGTATGTAGTTAACAGGATGTACCTAAATTAAGTACATTTGCCATTTTACATTTACATTATTTTATTGTACCTGGTCTCAGCTTTGTAAAAACACGCAAAAAGATTTGCATTTGTCTTACTCTTATTTGTATTGGACTGAACATTTGAACATTTCATTCAACGCATTATAGGTAAATAATAAGTTTTTAATTCAATTCAATTTTATTTGAATAGTGGCAAAGCAAAAGTTATCTCAGGACACTTTTCATATAGAGCAGGCCTAGAATGTGCACTTTATAAAATGATATACAGAGACCCAACAGTTCCCACCGTGAGTGAGCACTTGGCGACAGTGGCAAGGAAAAACTTCCTTTTAAGACCCCGACTCTAGGGGGTGGCCATGAGCCTCGACCCGTTATCACAAACAGCCGCTACAGCTCCTATGAGCCTCTGACAGTACACCAATGGCTCCTGGGATATAATGAGTAATATTGTTATCTACTTTTGCTCTCAGATTGGATTGGACTTCACGCCATGGTGCGCTCCCACTCAGCAGGACAGAGACGACCAGATGAATGTCTTCATTAAACAGCTAAATGTCGCCAAGGAGCTGGACCTCCCTGTGTGAGCACGATACACAGTTCACCTGTAGCTGTGTAGGCTATTTGTATATTCTATTGGTGCATATAGTTTAGCGTAGCCTCATTAACGTTATACACATGGGATCGTTGAGTCCCTCAGTGCTGTAGCCTCTGAACAGGCTCAGGCATTAAGTTGAATATAGGCTGCTGAACCAAGAGGTTGGCTGGTTGACTTGATTTGAATCTGTTTTGCATAAAAACATGTGATTAGAAAATGTGCTGCCACTACTCAGCAAACTTTTTTTTCATGGTAGTAAAGTGATTATACAAGTGCTCATTGTCTATGAGGCATGCATGACTGACAGGCTGCAGGAAAATCACTGTAATGATAACACAATAAAGTAAAAAATACACAAGAATGCACCCATTTTTTACTTTGGATGCTCTCTGAATGTGAAATAAATAAGTGACTGCGGTGATGCTGACCTTCTTTTACTTCCTGTTTTTCTGCACAGGAACGTACACTCACGATCAGCTGCTAAGGTTACCATAGAAACCATGAGAGAACAAGGTGGGTGTCTGGCCCCATTTTGTCATGTACATTTGCATGTCTGCAAAACATTTTGGATGTTACAGCTTTCTGATTTTCCGCCAGGTATCAGTCGAGCTCTGCTTCATAACTTTGCGGGGAAGCCGTCGGTCGCGCTGGAAGGTGTGAAGGCTGGTTTCTTCTTCTCATTTCCACCTGCTGTCTGCAGGAACCAACAGGTAGGTGTGAAAGTGACACTCCTCATGCGCATGATTGGTCATTTTTAAAAGGAAAACGGATGTACATGTAATATTTTTTACAAGCCATAAAGTAGGCATTTTTGAGCATCATGGTCCACGAGGTACATCATCAGCACTTCCATACATTTTATGCTGAAGTGTACCTTTATAACATTTATGATTATATAGTTAGGATAAGCCCTAAGTGTGTATGTGCCCAAGTGCATACATCATGTGAACAATCAGCTGTTGCGTGAGGATAGAATTTTGCTAAATCCATAAAACTTAACTGAACTTTGGCTCATCTGCAGTCTTATAAAACACACACTGACATGTGATGCACAATGAGTGAAAACCTATAGAATACACACAGTTTAGTAACAGTAGAGTAGGAGACAACATATTAATGCATAGTGTGAATGGTAGCAGGAAAGTATAACATAAGTTATAGTCTTAGTCATAGTGCTATTATTAGAGAATTATTACTCATACTATTAGAAATAATCCACATTTAATGTATGTTTTTGGTAGTGTAAGTTTTTATTGCAGAATATTAAAAAGTGTAAATGACAGTGGCAAAAGCTTCACAAACAAAGCTCTGGGACACAATGTACCAGCATTCCTCTGTCAACCTGTAGTGGAAGATGAGGAGTGAATCTGCTGTCCTGACTTTTGTAGCGTCAGTCCATATAATGAGGATAATAGTGACAAAGTTAATCCTAATACTGCCATACAGAGAGACAAGCTGATCCAGCAGATCCCACTGGAACACATCTGTCTTGAAACTGACTCTCCTGCACTGGGGCTCGACAAGCAGGTAAGTTTCAAAAGATCGAAATGAATCACGTTCAGAGTCTGTAACACAGCTGGATCTCCTCTGCAGATGTGTTTTTAATCTCTTTCTGTCTCCCAGGTGAGGAATGAGCCCAGTAACATCGCTCTGTCCTGCCGGTACATCGCTAACGTTAAAGGTCTGTCGCCACAAACGGTTCAGCTCGTCGCCGCGCAAAATGCTTACAGGCTTTTCCCCAAGGCTAACAGGCACTAACGCTGACATACAGCGCACAACTTTCTGAAATGCAGGGTTTGGCCTGAGGGTGGCGCCACATGACACTTACGTCACAGTCTGCTTTAGGATATTGTTTTAGGATGTATTCTGCTCTGTGTTAATGGAAATAAAATCCTGAAAGTTGAAGTGTGTTCAGGTCCCGTGTGTAATTGTTGTATTAGCTTGTGGGCTGCAGCCGCCTACACCAGGTGTGATTTATCTGGAAGAAGAAGAAAAGACATGTTACAGACAAAAGATGTTTGGTGGTTGATCGTACAGTATTGCTGGTTATTTGTAGGGAAAGTGTACTGATTTGCAGTGATTGGTATTTATTAGCTGCATTTAAAGGAGTACCTACGTCTGTGATACAGTGAGCAGCATACAGCAACTCTCAAGATTCTTGTTCAAGACAAGGAATGTGTTATAAGTTAGCCCAGAGGTTCCCAAAACCTTTCATTTTTAGGTTTGAAGATAAAGTCTTCATAGTCAATCAGGGATTAAACGTGGATCACTTTAAATTACGGTCAAACTAACGGCCAACCCTATTTCCTCCCTAGTTGCTCTAACTTTCTGGGGACCCCCTACCCAAAACCAATTCAAGGGCCTCTATTGGTCCCCAAACCCCAGTTTGAAAACCACTGAGTTAGTAAAAGTAAAAGTCAGTAAAAACTGACATTCACAAACATTTCTCTCTCATTCCTTAATTAGGGGATTGTTCGACAGGGAAGGCCCTCAGAAGTCTTTACAGGTATTATTATGGAGCTACCGTAGAGACTGACACACGTTGTAATAAAGCACACACACACACACACACACACACACACACACACACACACACACACACACACACTGTGGACATTGGGTCTACAGCTCTTACGGTTCTCTTCGAAGTGCCTTCTCTCCGGAAGCTTGGCGGGCGGCGGCCGCTCGCTGCAGGCCGCCGCCCTGCGCTGCGGTCCGGCGGTCAGAGCGGTGAGGAGGACCGGGCTGGTCCGCAGGTGACTCCGGTAATGTCTCCTCTCGGTCCTCTCCCAGGACTGCCGGGGGTTCGTCTCCACCTGACACCACGTCTCCCTCCGCAGGTTGAGCTCCAGGAGAGCCCGCTCTTCACACCCGGACATTGTGTGTTTGCTGTGAATGTTTTGATGTGTATTTTTTTTTCCTGTTATAAATTATCCAAACTGTGGTCAGTTTGTGATGCTGGCGTTTCCACGGCAACGGGAAACCTGAAGAAGCGCGTCTGCGCGCCAAAGATCTTTTATGCTGTGAAAGGATGAGTTACTCCATCGAGAGTTTGAAAACAGAGTCTTAAATTATTCAAATAAAATAGACATGTATTTCCCCCCTTTTGTGTTAGATATGTCAGTTCTACTTATTGTTCCCATTTGCTCTTCAGAAAAAAAAGCCCACAAATATTATGATTACTTTTTAAAATACAGACTTCAGACCATGATGAGATATTGTATGGGACCAATCTTTGATGTTTTTAAACACAATATATCTCCTTACAGCCTGATCCTCCATAAAAACGTGGTTAACACAATGTCAAATCTGTTAACACTCTCTTTATTTTAGGTGAAACGTGCTGAAAAGTGATTGTGTGTGTGTGTGTGTGTGTGTGTGTGTGTGTGTGTGTGTGTGTGTGTGTGCGTGTCCATTACTGGCCAGTACCAAGCTTTTGGTACCAGAAAACACGGACAGAGTGAGAGCTCACTCCTCTCCTCTCAAACCAAACCAACACTGAGGTCAGAGGTTATTTGATCTGACAGTGTTACAACAAAAAGATTTTAAGTACAAGTGCCTATCATTGTGGACTATTACTTACTCTTGTTTCTTGTTTGCCAGCACTTTAATGTAAAAAAAACCCCAACAGGTTAAGTAAAGTCCACAAAGTCTATATACAGGCCTATTTTTATTTTTTTTGCACACATATCAGTGAAACAATGAAATGTGTGTATAATACATGTGAATGTGGGATCAGACTTCTACCTGCAGTTTGTACCTGCTGCAGTGGATGGAGTCCCACTGGGTCAAACTATAATTAGGATTAGAACAGATAAACTGCCTGAACATATGGGCAGACTAATTACTGTATATGGACCAAGCAGCAACATTACAGGCCTGAGCGGGACTTGAGGGGAGGCACAGGGTTTATATTGGTCATTTTAATTGATTTGTTTCATTTGGTTATTCACTGATTGTTTGCAGGATTTAGCTGATCATGTCTTCAAGAAATGATGAATGTTATCTTTAATTTAGTGTGTACTCTGACATTTAAACAGGCCTACAATGAAAAATAGTGACATTTTTGTTAAAATATCCAAGAAGATTTCAATTATAATGTAATATTTCATATATAATGATTTAATTAAATGTGTTATTAATTGCATTTATTTGATAATAATGATACATTTGTTATTCTTCATTTCTATTAATACCAGAAAGTGATATAACAGACTCAATTCATTAATTAAACTGAATGATTACTGATCTCTACCTCTAATTATATGTGGATGGTTATACCAGGAATCATTTTGAGAGTACACAGCTTATATTTCACTCTAAAGTGTTGCATCATGGGATCCCATCTTCCACATGGTCACCGATTACATTCACATACACCCGGGAAGTAGTACAACATACTACAGCTGCTCTTCTATTGGCTCCTCGGCATCGGAAGGCCGTGTGTCAGCGTCGGCTGAACAAAAGATAGTGAGACCCAGAGAGGCGAGCGGAGGCAGACGCGCACCGGGCGGGCAGATGGGGAGCACGCTCGTTTAGAGAAGCCGAAGAGGAGGAAGAGCAGATACCGGAGCGGTTTTTTTTACCATGATTAGTGCGTCTTAAAGAAGATTATTTTAATATTTATCTATTTATCTTTATCTATTATACTAGTCAGCCATGTTCTCTAAAGCATCGTAGCGGTATCCACGAGTAACCGAATGAGGAAACCGCTTTGTTTTGCGTTTCACCGCTTCCTGCCTCGCCCCTAGTCGCTTTCATCTCTCTGTTTGCAACAACGTGGGGGGAAGAAGAGAGGAGAAGGAAAAGGACCAAACGAGCATTATGGTTGCCGGTGAGCTCGTGCAGGAGCATCTGCGCGCGGATACTGGCGCACCTGACGCTATCGCGGTCGCCAGGAAGAGTCCGGAGCTGGACGGAGCGGCGGAGCGATGCGCGGATCCGACGTACGCAGCTGCGGCGGCGGCGGCGGCGACGCTCCGGGCTGTGGAGGCAGACACGGACCGGGCGCTGGAGCTAGAGAAAGAGGTACCGCCGGATGAAAGAGAGGCGATGCTGCCCAACGGAGGAGGAGGAGGAGGAGGGGAGAAGGAGGGGAATAGTCTAGAGACGAGACTGTACCGGCGCCGGTTCGCCGTGCTCGCCGTGTTCAGCCTGTACTCGCTGGTGAACGCCTTCCAGTGGATCCAGTACAGCATCATCACCAACGTGTTCACGCACTACTACGGGGTGACTAACGACAAGGTGGACTGGCTCTCCATCGTCTACATGCTGGTCTACGTGCCGCTCATCTTCCCGGCCACCTGGCTGCTGGACCGGAGGGGTCTGCGGGTCACGGCCCTCCTCGGCGCCGGCCTAAACTGCGTCGGCGCCTGGCTCAAGTGCGCCAGCGTCAGCCCCGAGCTGTTCGGAGTCACCGTCACCGCGCAGGTCGTCTGCTCCGTGGCGCAGGTGTTCATCCTCGGCCTGCCGTCGCGCATCGCCTCGGTGTGGTTCGGACCGCAGGAGGTCTCTACTGCGTGCGCCACGGCAGTGCTCGGGAACCAAGTCAGTGTGTGCGGGTGCCGCTGATTATTGATTATTGAGTGATATTTTATTGTGTGTTTTTGGATTAGACCTTGTGTGGAATAGATAACACAACAATAACAATAGAATAGAGGAGACACATGGGAGAGCTGGGGGAAGAGGGAACAGAGGAGATATGGAGCCAGTAGAATATAAGATGATATAAATATTAGGATATATTAATATTAAATTATAATTTATTCAAGGAATTAAGGATAAATGAAGAGAAAAAGGCTAACAGAACAGAATATAAGGCAATACACTGACTGCAAAGAAGTACAATAGACCTACAGTAGACTGACAGAACAGAACATAATTAAATCAAATTATTAATATATATATTATTATATATTAATATAACTGAACATCACAGTTTAAAAATGCTACACAAACAAAGATGTTATCACCAAACACTCAACTTAAATGTGCAATATAATAAAACACAGTATAGCAGAGTAAGTAAACAGTATTTTCGGTCTCTCTCTTTCTCTTTCTCTCTGTCTTTCTGTGTCTCTCTCCCTAGTTGGGAACAGCCATTGGCTTCCTGTTGCCTCCAGTTTTGGTTCCCAACACGCCCGACGACATTGAACTGATGGGTCGCAACATCAGCATCATGTTCTATGGCACCGCCGCCGTCTCCACGGGCCTCTTCATCCTCACGATTATAGGTACGCCCCACAGACACACACACACTTGCCTTGCCTCATGGGAAGTAGCATATATGTGCCGCCATCTGTTCCAGTTCCAGATCTGTGGTTCAGTTACCTCAAAGTCAGGTGAGGTGACCACAGGCCCACCTCTGCACTGGGGATGGTAAGATTCAAAGTTCAAGATGTGATTGTGCCGGTTAAAAATGTGTGCATCGGATACAATTTGGGATGAACATGGACCAGATGTCCTCACGAGGGTGGAAATATTCCAGAAACGTTCCACAGTGAGGACATTTTGCTGCTCCTTACATCTTTAAGTGACCAGCTCGGGATTAGGATTTGAGTTTAGGATTAAGATTAGAATAGGATTAGGTTTAGTTTAAGGAAAAAGCTATGGTTAGGGGTTAATGTTTTATGCTTTATTGTGTTTTGGAGAGGTTTTAGTGGTGCGTGGAGAAGGTGAAACACCCATTCTCATTTTAGACTAACCGCACATATTAGATCACAGTTTCTTTCTAATGTGGTGTTTCTGTTTTTTATTTACTACATTAGATAACTTGACTGCTTCTGTGTCTTCTACAGTCATAACGGACCGCCCTGCCCTCCCTCCCAGTCACGCCCAGGCTGTCCTACCAGACTCTCCCCCTGAAGACTACTCCTACAAACAGTCCATCCTCAACCTGATAAAGAATAAAGCATTTGTCCTCCTGCTCATAAGCTACGGTGAGAGACCAGATCAGTGGGAGCATTGTTAAGCTTTCCTTAATTTATAAAAGCATTTTTTGGACTCTGAGATCCAGATAATCACTTTCACCGACTACAAGAAGTCTCGACTCCTGAACTATCATCAAAACATAAGCAAACTGTTAGTCGGCAGGTCAGCAAAAAGCAGTTCATGAGCCTGGAGAGTTCTTCTGTTTGAAAGCTCCTGGAAAAGTTACTCCTACTACTTCTACCACTTACCTCCTTGTTTACTACCACTACTACTACTATCATTGTTCATAATATTACAATACTAATATCACTACTGCCACTACTACTACTTCTCCTACTATCACCACTTACTAGCACTACTATCATTGCTACCATTACCATTATGTTCATGACTAATACTTTTATTATTGCTACCACTACTACTACTACTACTACTACTACTAATAATAATGATAGTAATAAAGGGTACTCCGAGCAGTATCAGCTGACACAGATCACTGGGTCTATTTAAAGCCTTGTGTTTATACTGTAGCCTTATTCATTCATTATTATTTACTATTCTTAACAACATTGTATATTAAGTATTAAAATTAATTCATATAAATACAGCGTAGCACCCAAGATTTACGTTGGGAGTTTTTACCTAATCCTCCAGCCCTCAGACCACACACTTGCATTGTATGATATAGAAACACACTGGGACTGAGAACTAGAGGTTTCTGTGTGGTGACCTTCGTGACCACCAGGCCCATTAAAGCTACTCAGAGACATCTTTAGAGCCACTTTCAGCACAGCAGCTGAATGAGGCTGAAAGCGTTCTCCTGCACTCTGTTTCTGGCGTGATCGTCTCGTGGCACATGTTGTTTCACATGACTCCTCCATGTGTGAGAGAACGGCATGCACACACTTCACAACTCCCCTATAAACGATCTGTCACGCCGTGGGGCTGACGTTTCTTTTTCTCGTTCAACTGGACAGTTTAGTCTTCTTCTGCATTTGACAGGCTGTCTGACAACAAAGTTACTCTCCTATAACATTATCTATATGTCTTTCTGTTGTTTAGAAACATAATTTCTACAGTGAACCTTCACTTCGTATACGAGAAAGAACTGTTTAACTAACCGCACACTCCCCTGTCTCTTTGTTTCTGTCTGTCTGCAGGAATAATGACCGGTTCCTTCTACTCCGTCTCAACACTTCTCAACCAGATGATCATGGCCTGCTATGAGGTAAAACACACAAACAGCTCGGAGTCACACCAAGTCGGAGATAAAGTTAAGGAGTTCTCAGTGTCAGTTGTTCCAATTTAAGTGGCTCAAAGGCGGATGATCCACAGGTTAGTTTGTCAGTCCAACACTTCGATGCAGAGCCGATATCTTGGCAACTACTCGATGGATTACAGTGAAATTTGGTCCCGATGTTCATGGTCTGCAGAGGGTGAATCCTAACCTGACTGTGCCAGGTGGTTTGTTACACAGAACCATCTGGGAAGTCATGTTGGAAACTGTTTAGAGAAGGGCGGGCACTTTAAAAATAATACGTCCAGGTGATTGGATAAAACTCCATCATTCTCTGTCATGGCCAAACTTCAACCAATCAGGTCAGCTTCTACAAACTCTTACCAAAGCCAGTCGGGAGAAGAGCAAAAACATCTTTACTGTCACTGTTTGCTCTTTTACTAAGTAATACTCTCCAGTTCTTATGTAACTGGTGCTAGCACACATCAGCACAAACACCTAGCTTTAAACCACGCCCACAGGTCATGCCATAGCTGCCAGTAGTTACTCATAGGACACCGATTGTCCCCCTGCTTACTGTTAGTATGTTAATATATTAACACATTACAAGCTAAATGTTATCATGTACCAATGTACTAACTATACACGCTGATTTAGCTTTTTTTCCTTTAGTTTTGTGTCTTGTCCACGCAAATACAACATATATAAGAAAAGCAAGACTTTGTGTTGTTTCCAGTCTTCCCACAGTTGTATCTATATGTATGTGTTCCTCTCTGATTGCAAGACTAACAGTTGACGGAGCGTTGGCTCGTATGTGGGTCGTCCTGTCTGTCTGCGAGTGAGGAAAGGATCTTCCTCGGGGTCAGGTGCAGCAGCTGCAGTATTGTCTTCTGTAGTGAAGAGAAAAGTCACAAAGCGAAGCTGTCACTTGGTCTATGTGTTAACCCTCAACCACATGTGTGGTCACGTTTTAAAGGTTATGGCTGAAAGAAAGAAACACAAAGCAGGTCAAACAACACAATATCAGAACGATCTACGTCACTTCCTGGAGATTTTCTCTTTTCCACCTCTGGCATGGTTAAAAGATTTTTGCACCATTTAGCTTTTCATGATTCAAATGTACAGAAAATTTGTGGATGGAAACTGCATGGTGGAGAAAGAGAGAGAGAGAGAGAGAGAGAGAGAGAGAGAGAGAGAGAGAGGAGGAGATGTATTGAGAGAGAAAAGAACAAAGCAACTTCTGATGGTTTTGATGAGACATGAGCTTATTGTCTGAGTTCATTAGCTGTCTTCACGCATGCCTGCTGCCCACCATAACACTGTCAATGGACACTCACACACACACACACACACACACACACACACAAAAAGCATAACAGCGGAGAAAAACACTGATTCATTCATTCTAAAGCACTCTTCAACTCTCTCTCTCTCACACACACACACACACACACAGATGTTCACCCTTGCATGAACTTATAAAACTCTCCCAGCTGAACTGTCAGATGACTTAACAACTCTCTCCCACCAGAAACTCTTTAAATCCCTGACTCCCCCCCAATTAACAACCCCCACCCATATACACACTGACAGAACATGTGACTGGCTCACAGTCCACCTGTAAGGAGAACCTTTGTGTTTCTGCTCAGATCCCATGAGTTTGAAGGATCACAAAAGCCTTTTTAGTCAGTTTGTTTCCACAAAGATTATATTAACACATCTCCTCTCCTCTCCTCTCCTCTCCTCTCCTCTCCTCTCCTCAGAACCAGGAGTTGAATGCTGGGAGAATTGGTTTGACTCTGGTTGTTGCTGGAATGGTCGGCTCCATCCTCTGCGGCTTGTGGCTGGACTACACAAAGACTTACAAGTAGGCCACGCATGCACACACACACACTTTTCAAACCTATTTCCCACCAATTTAATGCTGATTTGTAAAATAGAAAACGAAGGCTCAGCTATTATATGGCCAAAAGTATGTGGACACTACCGGACACTGATGTTGGACAATAAGGTCTGCCTCACAGTCAGCGTTGCAGTTAATCCTGAAGGTGTTGGGTGGGGTTGAGGTCAGGGGGTTCTTTGCAAGCCAGTCAAGTTTTTACATTCCAAACTGGAAAAAACATTTCTTTAAGGACCTGATTTTGTGCACACTGGCATTGTCATGTTGAAACAGGATCGGGACTTCCCCAAACAGTTGAAGGAAGGTATTGTCTGATTTATCATTGTCTGCTGTAGGGTTAGGATTTCCCTTTATCGGAGGCCCAACCCTTGAAACAGACCCAGGCGTGTCCACATACTTCTAGTATAAAGTATATTATATTATGTTGTTTCATATGTCCGAGCCTTATGTGAGAACAAAACAAATCCTCCAGTAAAATGAAACATGAGACAGTCAAGTTGGAGGGAGTTACAAGAAATTGAATCCTGACCCTGCCCAAATCTGTCAGGCTGGGATCAGGTTGTAGCTCTGCAAGCAAAACTTTAGTTTAATGTGTCTCAGTAGTCTCACAACTGGGAGAATAACTAACACAGAATTGCATTCTGTCAATCAAAGTCAACTATTGACTGTCTCTGCCTCTGACGTGTTTGTGCTGCTGTTTCACAGGATGACCACTCTGATCGTGTACGGCCTGTCGTTTCTGGGCATGGTGATCTTCACCTTCACTCTGGACCTCAAAAACATCTACCTGGTCTTCTTCACAGCTGGAGTCCTTGGGTACGACTAGCCTGATTTTTTTTTTTTTGTCATTTTTGATCATAGAGCTGCTAAAACAAGCTGAACGTCTGTCGTTGCTTTCAACACACAGAAGCTGGGATTCAGACTGCATATATCAAACCATCTGACCTTTAGGCTGCATCAGTCTTACTCTGACAAACGTCTCAATACTGCTTTCAAAACAAATAATCAAGACACAGGATGTGAGCTCTGTCTCTTTCTCTTATTGTTGTAGGTTCAAACACACCTGCTGTAGGCATGAAGCCGGCGCAGTGTAGATATTTACATATAAAAGGTCATCAACAGATATACCCTTTTTTGTTTTGATCTACTTTAGATTTCTGAGGTTTACATCCTTAGAGGCTGTAGTCACATATTTAAGCAGAATAAACAGATCCTTTGACTTTATTTAAACTCAGTCTGACGTCTGTGTCTCAGGTTCTTCATGACGGGTTACCTGCCTCTGGGCTTTGAGTTTGGAGTGGAGATCACCTACCCAGAGTCTGAGGGAACATCATCAGGACTCCTCAATGCTTTTGCACAGGTATCACAGAGTTTCACAACAGTGTCCTAAAGGTGCTTCATGTAGTACTTTCACATTAATGATTCATTGTCACATTCATTTTTATTAAGTATTAGTATAGCTTTAAGGAATAAATTAGATCTTAGATTTCTGAGAGAAATATGTAAAGAGAAATTAGATTTTTAACTGTCTAATGACCTGTGTGTGTGTGTGTGTGTGTGTGTGTGTGTGTGTGTGTGTGTGTGTGTGTGTGTGTGTGTGCAGATATTTGGGATTATTTTCACTCTGATTCAGGGCAAACTGACCACAGACTACAATCCAGTATTTGGAAATCTCTTCCTCTGCGCCTGGATCTTCCTGGGAATACTGCTCACTGGTAGGCTGTGTGTGTTGATACGTGTATGTGTGTTTGTAGGTGTGTGACCGTGTGTGTGCATTTGAGTGTCTGACCAGATGTCAGAAATGTAATGTTTTCTTGTTTTATGTTTCAGCCTTAATTAAGTCAGAACTGAAAAGACACAACGTTAACATGGGAGCAGACAACAACCACTTGCAAGCAGTAAGTGCACAAACACACACACACACACACACACACACACACACACACACACACACACACACACACACACTCTCTGGCTGATATCTGCCTTCTTGTGTCCAACACTCACACACACACACACACACACACACACACACACACACACACAAGGTTTATAGCAGATAACATTGTGTGGCCACGTTGCCAATTAACTGCATACCCTTCTTACTCAACTTTATTTGTATAGCACATTTGGTACAGTTTAGTGCAGTTCAAAGTGCTTCACATATGATTGACAAGATGATAAGAAGACAGAGTTGAGTAAAAATTAAATAAGGTAGATTTTAAAAATAAAATGCAATGATGAAAATCACAATAAAATACAGGTTTAACGATAGTATTTAATAAAAGATATAGTTAAAAGAAAGTTATAGGAATCAAAGCTTTCAGTGTGTACATGATGCCATTAAAATGTCTCTATGTGCTCCTGACAGTAGAATAAGCCACTATAAACCTATATACAGTAAAACTGCCAGAAAATACCATGATACGAATGTTTGGTCAGCACTACTTTCTGGATGATCGATTTCATGGAAATTATAAACATATATATATAGGCCTATATATTTTAAAATATGTCAAAAAATACCTCTGCCACCCCTGTGGAGTGCCCTTCAGAGAGGACAGCATTCAGTCTGAGTGTCTCTTTGTTCAGTGTCTTTCCTCCTACTGGCGTCCCATGGAGTGACCTTATGACGAGACAGATTCTTGAACCTTTCTCTTCTTTCCCTGAACAGAGGCCCTTGTCAGTTCGGACATTAAGTCTCTTCTGTGTTTCTGTTCGGGCACACAAATTGTCCTCTAAACAGACAGAGCTATAAAATCGTGTCTCTTCTTGAATCCAGCCTCGCCACCAGCCGATTATCTCTAATGATTTCTGAAGGTGCCTTGCAAATCAGCCTTCAGACAAGCCAAGCCATTAAATCTGTTACTGTGTCTGGACTCTTCAATCAGCCTTCATTACATGTTCCCACCAACCTGCTGTGTCACAGCTGAAGTGTCCTTCAGAGAAGCCCCCCCCCCATCCTTCCTTTGAATCCTTAGCTCAGAGGTTTCCAACTGAAGCTCCCCATAGAGTTTGCATAATCAAGTTTGAGGTTTGCGAGATGAGTTATGAGATAGAAAAATGTATATATAGGCTACCTGTCTTTATTCTGACTTTTTATGTTTTCCTATGATGTGTATATTTATTTATTTAGTTAGTTAGTTAGTTAGTTAGTTAGTATATTTTCTTCTTTGTGAATTGTGATTATCAAATTAAATAACTTTAGGGTTAAATAGGGTCACCACCTAAAATCACTCTGTGCATGATTTCAATTTTGTTTCAATTTGGCGTCATCTGGTGGCAAAGAAAGAAATACACTGAGATGAATGGACAAAGTAACACAAGACTTCCACACTTTTGATGACTGATTAATTTGTCTTAATTAATTTGAAAGATGCTATAATCATCAGATTATCTACATATTATATCTTTAAAGTTACTATTTATCCCTGCAACCAATGCTTCAGGAATAGTTTGTTGACCGCAATCAAAATGTCTCTCTCTTTATTTGCCCTAGCTTCCTACTGAGTGTCCCGGGGACTGCCCTTCAGAAAGTAAAACCAACGGAGTCAAGCTGGAACCCTCGATCAGTTTCTCCCATGAAACCTCACTGTGACCCTGCCAAGTCACTGGACAAATAAGAAGGACTCCCTGCTGCCCTGGGATACATGTTGGCACCATAGTCTGTGAAGTACCTAGAGGTGCACTTGATTTTTATTGCCAAGCATAATCTCTTGAATAATTAGAAAGCTGGAGGCTCTGGATGCGAGCCAAGTCTAATCAAGCACAGCCACAATCTAGGTGTGGATTCAAGCCAGGTGTGACCAACAAGGCACAGAGGAGGTTGCTCCTCCCAAGCTGTTTGACTCCTTCAAAGCTCTGCTGCAGGATCCAGGACCCTCGTGCTCCCAAAACACTTATAGTATAGAAGAAGCATTACCTCCAATTGAGAGAAGTTTTGGTTTTGTTCTGGAAAGGTCATTGTGGATTGGTAAAAAAACAAAAAAAAACAGTATGGAAGCAATGACATGCAGAAGAAGCTCCACTGCACTTTATTTGTATTGTTGGTGAAGCATGGCACTCCTACTTACTCCTACATACTACTGTATGTAAATCTGGTTTCACTAGAAAACAGGCTGATGAAACAAGCTTCCTAGATCACCATCACAAGGTTTGCTGTAGTTAAGACAAAATACTGATTCTTGATGGATCACAACAGCAGGTGAAGTGTCTTTGGGTGTCTGGGAGGAAAGACTAGAGAGCCATTCTGTTTGGTTTTGTACTGCAGCCACTGCCCACTGCACAGGGCCAACGTTTCCTGAGTTTACTTGAATTATCCTTCATGCTCTGGACTGAAGTTGTATAACACACTGTACATTTTGTTAATATTTGATTTCTTCCTCACATATAACACTGATTATGTTAGTTATCAAAGACAAACTGAAGCTGCTTTGATAATGACAGTCGATGTAAATCCTGTTTATTAGAATGAGCGGACTATGTCACATATTCTATAACAGTATGTCACAGAAGGTCCAGACAAGTGCAAAGTACATGAAAGTAAATGCAGCTCGCTCGGCTGACACTGCAACACAATCAGGTGGAAATCTTCACAGGTTTTTATTTTGACACAGGTTTGCATATGAATGTGCTTTTTATTTGCCATGATCCGTAAATAGTTAAGAGTTAAATTCTTCCGTTGTGACTGACTGCGCCTACCTGGTACAGCAAAATAAAAAAGCTCAGTAAACCCAGAATGGCAAGTCATTCCCTTCATGACAAATGATTGACGCAAAAGACTAAAACCATAAGAAGAATTGTATTTAGCTTTTAGATTCCAGGGGAAATCTCTAAACTTCCCCCCTCTGTTCATTCCCTTAAAGCTGCAGTTAGTAACCTTTTTTCCAGGTTGTCAAATACCGATGCTTTGGGATCCTAGCTCAATCTCAATTAACTATCTTTCTTGGCTCTAATTGGTTGTTTTTGGTCAGAAGTGGTGGATTCTCACAAATACCTTTAGGAGCAGAGGAACCTATTTTCTTTCATAGATTATCTGTCTCATGTACTCCCGTCAGGATATAGTGAAAGTTTCAGCAAATATGACCCAAAGCTACTTTTATAAAAGTTACCTACTGCAGCTTTAAGTCATTGCCACAAAGCGATAGGGGAAGGAGAGTCGAGGCCATTTAGAACAGTTTATTTGCTATGAAGGGCCCTGACATAACTGACACCAAGAATCAAAACACTACACTATGCTTATGATTCATGTAACTGTCCTAGTAAATTATAAGTAATTCTCAAAGCTGTTGGGTCTTTATCTAAGGGCCTATTTAATAACTAATTTCTTTCACCCATTGCAACTTTTTGTCCAAATTCAAGTCCAGTTTGTTTATACCTATATTACGCTCTAATAGGGTTATGACATTAGATAAATATCTGCAGTAGTAAAATAAAATATGTATGTACTGTATAAAATACATGGCTGGCTTGCACAAAGGCTTCCTGACAACATGACTGTGCTGTAGTATTTTCCTACACAAACCACAGTGGACCAAACAGAATGTGAACAAGAAGTGCACAAAAAGAAACGCACGCACAACGTCAAGTTTTCTACTCGAATGCATGATTTTAAATGTGTTTCTAATGTTGACTCCTGTCCGTTATTACACTGAGAATCTGTATGTGACAGCTAACTTAAGCTGCTGTTTGTGAGATGTGGAGACATCACAGGAGATTAACAGTGCCATCTTGTGGGTTTCCTGCAGCAGTAACAAAACAAGCAGAGTGGACAGGAGAAGCACAAAAGTGTCCAATTCATTCTGTAACAGTAAAAAGATGCTAATTTATTTTCAGATCCATCTGTTAATTTTATTTCTGTCCTATAAAAGTTTAACTTATAAAAGGAATTCTGTTTTTTGTATCTGTCTTTACCAGTTTATAACTCAAAGTGTACTTTTTTTTAAAACTAAAGTGTGAATGAATGTTGACAACTTTTATAGTTGCAAAATCTGTATTTAACAGTCATGTAGCTTGCTTGATTTCTGTATCCAAAGTCTTACATGCTGTCTACAGTGGATGTGTTTCTAAGTTGTTAATTTGACATTCATCTGAGTGAAAAATTCATTTTTTTGTTTGTCTTTAACTTGAAATATAAAACCCTATCAACAACCAGGATTTTCCTTGGTAAAAATATATCTAGGGATCCCTTTGGCTTTTATTTTTTCAATAAATAGCAGCAGTTCCACACACTTTAAAATGGGACATTATCATCTTTTACCCCATGTTTGCAACATTTCAAAATCAATCATGAAAGAAATTATTAAGTTTATTAACTGTTTATGGTATTTGGCAATGGCATGTTATTTTAGGAAATTATCACACCTCTTTATTTGGTTCTACTGTTTCAAACCTTTGAAAGTATGTTTATGTTTTTTAGCAGTTGAAGAGCTAACATTTCCTTGTCTTAATATAATTATTATAACAGGATGTTTTATACACTACACTACAGTCTTGACATATGGTCATATAATTTATCCATCTAAGTCATCAAGTTAGTCTAAGTAAAATTATGAAACTGGACCGAAAAGTAAAGGAATTCAACTTGTTTCATTCAGGCTATGAGACATTTCATGAAATATGTTTTCATTCTTTTAAACATTTTGTTTTCTCTTTAGTCTCATGTTTGGAGAACTGTATTTTACGTTGTCTCCATTCTGTTTTCAGTATTTCTGTATATGACCAAAATAGATTTTACATGTGAAATCAGGAAAAGATATCATAGTATGATAGCCAGAGAGACATTTTATGCATTTAACTGGCTTTGCTGTAACCATGTAACCATGAAACAGGTTTACATCTCTATATTAATCATTTTCTGGGTGGCAGGATGTTTTCATGGTTGTGGCATTACTGTTATCTGACTCATAAGATCTTAATGACAGTAGTCCAACTGGCGTCGGCAAAATCAAAGACAGAAGAACATTTTTTGTATTTTTCCAACCACTGTTACTGTGGCACTTTTTAAAGGATAAGGCTTTTGTTAGTCTATATTTTTCTCATTGTGAACAAATAGACCAAAGCCAGCAATGTGTTTTTGTGTCTGTCTTAGTCAGTACTTTCCTTTTTTCCTATGTACATACCCAGCGCCTCACCGATAGTCACAAACAACAGGCCACAAATACATAATTCAATGATTAAAAAAGGTTCAGTAATTGCCTGCTTTACAGTTGGGCGTTGTTACTCAAACAGGAGGAAATAGTATTAGGGACTATTTTAAGCTATAAATGAATACACATTTGGTGCTTTTTTTGTGGCTGCTGGACGGTGTGCGTAGGATTGACTCATGGCATAGAGGAAGAAGATATATCAGGGTTTGGATATACACACATTACATACATACATATAAATTAATTGTTAATAAGAAAAAAACTGAAAATATCATCAGATATGTATACTGACCCAAGACCACAGCAATTCATACAATGGGATGTTGGAGAATCTTCTCTGCTGTCATACATACTGGAATCACATTATATGCAGATGACACTATACATTTCTGTTGCAATCAAAAGTCGCTGAGGAAATTCACAACAATAAAAGGATTTCACTCCAAGGCCTGTGAGTGTCTTCATTTTCTTTTCTCACACAATGCAAACACAGAGGGAGCGAGTCCTCCTCTACACAGTTTGCCATGTTTAACCACCAAGTTTCTACAGGAGTCTAGAATGGACTGGCTGGTCAAACACTGGCTCTAGATAGGGTTATTCACGTTTTTTTGCGGCCACTGTGGTTTCTCGGAAAGTGACCAGTATTCAGTGAGTTGCAGTCGTCATCTCGCAAAAATACACTGTTACATACTCTTAAATTTGGGAGATATAAGGTTTTCATTTGAGAATGATGTGGTACCAACACAGAAAAACATGATATAGTAGAAGCCACTATGTGTCTTTAATAAATATATATATATATATATTTCAATGCTGTCTGGAGTGTGAACAAATGATTGTGCACGTACACATACAGACACCTAAGGAAATGATCTACCCTCTGGATATTTTTAAAAGATGAGTGGTGTGTGATGCCGCTTTACAAATTACTCAGGAACTCCACCGCAAAAAGGAAATTTCATCATCACCCACAGCCTTGTAACAGAGACAAAGACATTGCCTGTTTACAGAGAACAGATACAGGATGGCTTCACTGGAATTAATCCTCATTTTTGTGCTTCAGTTTGGAGGTAATTGCTCTGATTGTCTTTTTTTTTATTGAAGTTTATCAAAATGTAACCTTTCACTCTTATCATTAGACTGGGACAGAATAAACAAGAAATGTATTTGTGTTGTTTAATCTGAACCTGAAATTGCTGAATTCTGGCAAAAACATAAAAACATATTTGAAATCAGATAATTTATGATTTGTAGTCAATTGCAGTTGGATATATTTCCGCTTTTGAACTGTGTAATGGACAGTGCAGCAGGACATATAGCCCAAGATGCACCATTTCCTCCAGTTTGAGTAACATTTGCTAAAAATGTTTAGATGAAGATATATGACATAGATGAACATTACTCTCTCATATGAACACAGCCACTACATGACAGAGGGTGACACATAGGTGGTTACAAATGTTAAATCCCAATTCAGAACTGGACAATATTTATGTTTCTTTTTGAAAATAAAATAAAATACAATCCTTGTGTTATGTCTTTAGTCTCCATGCATATGATGTTATGTGTAATGGGTCATTTCTTACAGAACATGTATTCTTTTCTTTCCAGCAGGCATAAGTGGAAAACGTATCTTTATTTACAACAGATCTGGACATGATGCCATTCTGCCCTGTACCAGTGCATCACCCTATGACACAACATACTCCAACGTTACATGGCTTTACAACAGAGATCCATCTCAGACTTTCACTGAGGTTCGGGAAGGAAATGTTGAGAAGAACTCAGCCCGAGCTGCCAGGATGAGTCTGGACCCTTCCTGCTCTTTGGTCATTAACAACATCACTGCTGAGGATGCTGGTCAATACGCCTGTCGTAAGGGGAGGGACAGTTATAATGATGTATATATATATCTAAGTGTTTTGACAAGTGAGTCTCAATTTCATGAAAACCCATTGAGATTATTAAGGGATTCTGGCGCATGTTTTTTGGGACGATAATTGTTGTTTCAAGCTCAATCTCATTCCAATTATATACCCTTTTCCTGTCCACTATGCCTCTACTTACATTTTTTATCATGTTTTCTCTCAGTCTCTCCTCCAGACGCTGATCCAAAGAGGGACGGTGAAGTCACATTAGAGTGCTCTCTGTCGAGATACGCTGAACTCCGTTCTTGTCAACAGAACAGCGTCCGCTGGGTGGATGAGACAGGAACTGTGCTGCTTGATGAAGGTGTCGGGTACAAGTTCCTCAGACAGAAGAACTGTGTCTCTGTTCTGAAAGTGAAGCTTCAGAGTTACAACTGTCACAACAGGAGATACACTTGCCAGTTTGTTGACAGGAAGAACAATGTAAAGATAGAGGCTGACTACACACCTGTCTTCATAGGAGGGACAGGAGACGGTCAGCCAGAAAAACCTCATTCAGGTAAGATAATATGCAGCTCACCAGATACAGAGCTTTGCCTGTTGGTTTCATTAACTCACATTAAATATGGTATTTACTTATTAATAAACATGTTTTTCTTTCTAAATCATGTTCAACAGATTCTACAGATTGGCCTCTGAGCCCTATCATGTTGGCTCTAAGAATAACAGGACTGATCCTAATGATTGTAATCACTGTTCTTGTCATCAGACACAGAGGTGAGGAAACTCAGACCATCATTTGGTACAACTGCTTCATATAAATCATATGTTTAGAATTTTAATGGTACTTTTTATTGTTGTTTTTCAGTGAACACAAAACCACTTGATGACGACAATGTGAGTTAAAAAATAATGAATAAAATTAGGAAAATAAAAGATGTAACTTCTTCATTTGAGACTGTTGTTCCTTCTGAGCCCACAGAGGCTGCAGTCTCTCTGGTAGAAACATCAACAGTTTGTTCCCTTCAAACAATTCAGAATCTCATTGGTTGTGTTGTATTTCACAGGTGCATCAGGATGGCGACGAACTCAATTATGAAACTGTAGAAGCACGTCCTGCTACTACTAGACTGCACTGATCAACAACTTCCACACCAACGTCAGCTCACCAGAAAGTCAAATATCATCATTTTCCCACATGGACAACAATACAGGCAAAAAGTTATCCTCCCAACCATCAATGCTTTTTTAATGTAATCTGTAATCTCACAAACTAATGTTAGTTGATGATGTGCTCTTTGGCCTTTGAATTTAACGCTTGAGTAAATCATACTTTTCCAACCCTGAGACAAGAGAACATGAGTTTATGCCAGAGATTCAAACAAGTTCACGTCAGAGGGCCAAATTATTATTCAGGTTATTATTAAGTCTTCCCTGAGAGTTAACCGCAAAATATGTTGCAGTGTGCTTATTATTTTGTCATTTTAAGTGCTTTAAGTCACCAGAATGCACAAATCAAAGGCTCTGAAAGTCTGAAAGCGTTTTGAAATCCTCCCTGTTTTTAAAAGTATGCACCAGCCCTGTTTCCAGCAGTAGCAGGAAGCTCTACTGTAAACTACCTGCTCAGCACCAAACAACCAACAGACACAGTTAGGGACGAGCTGTTGAACATAAAGGAACATTTAGCAGCTAAAGAGCCAGAAATGTTTTTAAGGAGTTGGTGGAGATCAACACAGACCTAAAACAAGAGTGAATGGTGGGCTTACATTAAACAGGTGGATAAGAACACAACTTGCTGCTGCTTTGCTGGATGTTGTAAATACAGCTGTTGTATAACATCTGTTGTATACGTGATAATATGTCAGAGTTCTTTTTTTCAGATTTTCTTTTTCAAAGAAGCAATAAATTGGTAACTTGAGCTTTAAATTATTTTAAATGATTTTATTTCTGTTTAAACATTTTCTCATATAAATGTGTTGACAGTCTGATGTCAGCCTGACAGTATTAACCATCATATTCAACCTGAGTGTGTCTAACTATGTTTTATTTGACAGTATTGAGTTTGTGTCCACATTAAGTTATGAATACATTAGCCAGCGCATTAGCAAAGTAACTCACTGACATTCCTTCTATCCAGCAAAGACCTTATGTTGTTAGTGGTGTTCTGATAACCTGAGGTACAGCTTATTATAACTACAGTCTGCCACTGTCAGTGAGACATGGAGGCATTAAAGAACAGTAGCACCATCTTGTGGGTTTTCTAGTGTAACAGGTCTCAGACAGAGTACCTGTAAACAGATAAGGTTCCTGTAAAACAGGAGAAAGAATGAGACAGGCGACCGTTGCCTCTATTCCGTGTAGCTTCGCTCAGCAGAATGAGAAAGTAAACAAGAGTCCGTGCGCAAGGTGAGTCCAAAAGGAGAAGCAAAGCGCCACACTGCCTCCTGCTGGTCACACTGAATAGCTCTGAGTGTATCACATAAAAAAGGCTTTTGCTCTTACCAAGAGGCAATAATTGACCATTTTGGCACATATTAACACATTTCTTTCACAGAAATAATATTTTCAACATAAAGCAAACAAAATTACACAAAACGTGACCTTACATTTCGTAAGCGTCACACGAGCAACAAACTATCATCAGAGTATCCAGAGGGCATATTTTATCCCATGACAGAAACAACATATACTGTATATAATTTATGTTTGTAGATCCTTGAGTGCATTTAATTTCTGCATAATAAAAACTGTGTCTTAACATGTACTGTTTGTATATTTTGAGGAAGTCTCATCACTTCCTGTAGATTATGATCTGTATCTCTCTTCAGTAAAGTCACTTTTAATGTATCTTAAATGATTTAAAAACTTAATAAAAAGTTATATTCTAATCTTTTTGTACAAGAAGTATTAAGTTTGTGAAAGACAAAGTTTCTTTTGTGGCTGTCGTGTGCAGTCTGCTTATAAAGAATATAGAAGTGATGATAGTCTAACTCTGTGGCACTTGTGGTGGGCTGGGTGGTGGGTGTTGCTGTTAAAAGTTATTTTCACACATTAAGTTGTCCACAAACAGGAACTTTGTTTCATTGCCACCATTTCCAGATCTATAGTAGAGAAGAAAAGCCTCACACAGCGTCCGCCTGCTGACAGAGAATAGACACAAAATGTCTCTACTGGAATTAATCCTTATTTTTGTGCTTCACTTTGAAGGTAAAGCTCTGTTTTCTTATTAAAATGGTAATAATAATATTATTAATAGAAACACTAGAGTTTTAGAATTTCCATTAACATTTGTTAACGGCTCGAGTGAAAAATAATGAGGAAATAGTCACTGTTGTCTTACTTTAAAAGTCATTTTAATGAGCTTTGATCAACTTTCTGGCCTGTAAAAATGAACCAACGGCTGTGAGACAAGAACAGGATAGCAATATGAATCAATTATTTTTAGATAGATCCTTAAATGCATATATACTTCAGCATATGCAGATATAAAGATAAGTAATGATTATATAGTCAGTCTGCTCTCTGTGTTCTCATTGGTTCCTTTAAACTCCACCCAGGGGCGGATCTAGAGAAATATTCATGGTGTGGTAAGAGCGTGGCAGAAATATCTGCTGATTTAATCACATTTTAACACAATAACATTACACTATTGTGGCACATTGGTGATATAAATAGAATAGATTCAGATAGAAATATATAAATGTGGCATTAGAAATCAATAAATTGTTTTATATCCAAATCTTCAGACATTTTTGTGTGTTTATTGAACTTAATCTGATCACTGAGTCTAAAATGTGACCATAACAGATCATTCAATTATATGAGTTTGATTTTTAACACACCAATTCTAAAATAAATATAAATCTACTTCAAAATGTGTTCAAATGTGACGGCAATTGACACCAAACTGGGGTGGTAAGGCATTTTTTAGATCCGACACTTGATTCCATCCATATGATAAAGTATTATTGTATTTACATTATAACTTGATGCAGTTAGTACATAAAGTGCATAAGATGACACAAGTACATACAAAAGTAAACAAAGACAATAAGATCAGATCTGCAGTTTTTATTTGGTCTCAGACAACATTTGTTCATTGTGATCGACTGTGTGTTGCTTGTTTTGTTCCAGTTTTCACAGTGGAGGTAAGCTGTATCCCAAAGAGCCCTTGACTCACTGATTTACTGAGATAGAAATGAGAATTACTCTCATATAAACACAACCACTAGATGGCCAAGGGTCTCACTCTCCCTCCCTGTGGTTGCAAATGTAAAAAAAACCTGCAACAACAAAAAAACAATTCAGAATGGAACAATGTTTGTTTGTGTTTGAGAATAAAATGAAATAAAATTCTCATGTTAACTTTGTAGCCTTTCGACCACTCAATGCCCTGTACACTACATGCCACACTCACCCCATTCACACACTGATGAAAGTGGCTCTGCCATGTAACGTGCCAACTGCTCACCACAACTAAAACTTCACACACACTCATACACAGCATCGAGAGGAGCCAGGGGTCAAACCACGAACCTTCCGATTGGTGGACTACCCACTCTACCTCTGAGCCACAACCGCCCTGTTTAGACTCCATACAGATCATAATTTATTCTTTTCGTTCCAGCAGGCATCAGTGGAGAACCTATCTATGTCTACAACAGACCTGGACATAATGCCATTCTGCCCTGTACCAGTGCATCACCCTCTGACAGACAACGCCACATTGCTACATGGTTTTACAACAAATATGGATTTCATGAATCCATTGAGGTTTGGAAAGGAAATGTTGTGGAGAGCTCAACCCGAGCTGCCAGGATGAGTCTGGACTCTTCCTGCTCTTTGGTCATTAACAATATCACTCCTGAGGATGCTGGTCTCTACATTTATGGGTATTTTGACACTACAGAGGTATATCTAAGTGTTCTGACAAGTGAGTCTCAATTCCATGAAAACTCATTACATTTATAAAGAGGGAATTTTACTTTTGGCAAATGTTCTGTGGGACAGACATGTTGCATTGTAACAGTTATACAACCTTTTCCTGTCCACTCTGGCTCTACTTGTAAGATGCAAGGTGTCTGTCAGTTTCTCATTAAGGTGAACCACGAAGAGTTTACCTGTTTATTTTACATCCTTCTTTATATTACAGTAAAGTAATTATCACTGTGGCCTTTTCCCAAACCGACCCCTCCCTCACTCCGTCAGCTGTGAAAGACACTCCACATTATGGGGACACCCCTTTTATTTGAGGAAGACAATGTCCATAAACTCACATTATACATGGAACTGAATGTCTCTCTGGATTGGGACGGCCCTTAACATGAGGGACCCTCACAGTGAATGAGTGTAGGTTGAGTGGATGGAGCTCCATGAAAGAGAGGAGATTATCTGATTGGCCATTGATGATCACAATGCTCCTGCTCCTTCATTTATAAAAAAAGTACCCCTCCCCCAGTTTCCTCCAGTGATTGCCATATCAATTTGCTGATAGATACTGTTTATAAGTTTCCTTTTATAATTTTCTTTCCTTATTTTGTTTGTCAAACCACAATTGAAAGTTCTTGATTTGTTTGTTTCAGTCGACCTTCATATTTTAACTCAGTAAAACAAAGATGACAGAAGATGAATAGAAACTTGTCAGGACCTTTTAGTAAAGTCGCTCAAACATTTTTTACACTGAGTTAACAGTTATCACTTGTTTTCTCTCAGTCTCTCCATCTCCTCCAGACGCTGATCCAAAGAGGGACGGTGAAGTCAAATTAGTGTGCTTTCTGTTGAGATACACTGGACTTGGTCCTTGTAAACAGAACAGCCTCCGCTGGGTGGATGAGACAGGAACTGTGCTGCTTGATGAAGGTGTCGGGTACAAGTTCATCGGACAGAAGGACTGTGTCTCTGTTCTGAAAGTGAAGCGTCAGAGTGGCCACAACAGGAGATACACCTGCCAGTTTGTTGATGAGAACAATGTAAAGATAGAGGCTGACTACACACCTGTCTTCATAGGAGGGACAGGAGACGATCAGCCAGAAAAACCTCATTCAGGTAAGATAATATGCAGCTCACCAGATACAGAGCTTTGTCTGTTGGTTTCTCAAAGTTTCACATGTTGGAGATAAAGTATTTTCACAGTAGAACAATTTGTAACATTCTAGTTATTTTTTTCTTGCAGGACATTAAATATGGTATTTACTTATTAACAGACATGTTTTTCCTTCTAAATCATGTTCAACAGATTCTACAGATTGGCCTCTGAGCCCTGTCATTTTGGCTCTAAGAATAACAGGACTGATCCTAATGATTGTAATCACTGTTCTTGTCATCAGACACAGAGGTGAGGAAACTCAGACCATCATTTGGTACAACTGCTTCATATAAATCATATGTTTAGAATTTTAATGGTACTTTTTATTGTTGTTTTTCAGTAAACACAAAACCACTTGATGACGACAATGTGAGTTAAAGAATAATTAATAGTATTTGGAAAATAAAAGATGTAACTTCTTCATTTGAGACTGTTGTTCCTTCTGTGCCCACAGAGGCTGCAGTCTCTCTGGTAGAAACATCAACAGTTTGTTCCCTTCAAACAATTCAGAATCTCATTGGTTGTGTTGTATTTCACAGGTGCATCAGGATGGCGACAAAGTCAATTATGAAAATGTAGAAGCACGTCCTGCTACTACTAGACTGCACTGATCAACAACTTCCACACCAACGTCAGCTCACCAGAAAGTCAAATATCATCACAGTCATTTTTCCACATGGACAACAATACAGGCAAAAACCTTTCTTTTGCAAAGAAGCAATAAATTGGTAACTTGGGATTCAAATGATTTTAAATGATTTTATTTCTTTCTTTCGTTTAAACATTTTCTTTCATCACTGGTTTAATTTTTCTCATATAAATGTGTTGATAGTCTTGTGTGTTGATTTCAGCCTTACAGTATTAACCATCTTCTATGCAGCAAAGACCTTATGTTGTTAGTGGTGTTCTGATAACCCGAGGTACAGCTTATTATAACTACAGTCTGAAAC